GTTGGAGACTCCTTTCCCTTTTTGTTAATTGACCAGATAGCAGCTGTCATGCTGCAATCCAAACTAGCAGTATGCATCCTGGGGTATTACAGGAGATCCGCGTGATGCTGGAATGTATAGTTAAATACCACCTTGGCAGCTGTACAGTAATGGCTCAAATCCTATCCCACAGCTCTTCTTTTTCTAAATCAATGCCTTGATGACTTTATTCCTAGTACAGCAAACATCAGCTGGTATATGTCACCAAACATAGCAATGTCTTTGCTTTTGGAAATGCTGCCTGTAAAACTTCACAGGTGCCAACTTGTCTGGGATATGACCTCACTGGACATGGCCGCTCAGGCAGGATTATACCGCAAACCCTTGAATGCCATGCATTACTTTAACATAGGCCCAATTTGTAAACAGTAGCTTTTCAACACTCATAGTAAGTCTAAATGCCTGAACATAGCAAAAGGACAGCAGTGTACCTCCCAAGTTTAAAGGAAATCTGTGGCGACAAAATATGGTGGCCTTTGAGGACCTTTGTCTGAAAATGCTTGTTGCCTGGCTGTCTTTAGCTTCAGTATTTCCTTAGGTAGAACAAATATACAGCCAGTGAAGTTAGTGCACACTTGTTCTAGGTCAGTATTGATGCCATGAGTTCAACATGACAGACAGGCAAATTACCTTTTTCAGAGGACAGGTTAGCAGTAGTAGCCACTATTGGAATGTACACACCACTATCGGCTCACTCCAAAATGCAAAATATAAACAACGTATAACAAAAACTCAGACACATGAGTGGTAACCTTTTTGGCTGTAGCCCTTTATTGTGGTTTAATTTTTACTTTAGCGTGAACTTTTCCTAACTTGTTTAAACATTGTATACCAACAATCCTTCACTCTTCAAGAGTCAACCACCATAAATCAAAAAAGTATTCATGATAAATCATGTGAAATACTGTCCATGCACAAAGCAAGCAATCTTATTTCCTATTATATCCAACAGCCATGCCCATTATTAACAGTCTTGTTTTCCCATTTTGACTTTATTTTATTCTATGTTATAGAGAATGCAGTGTAAGGAGTGAGGTTCCACCACACAGTTGTTCACTCAGAAGGTATGCGGATGTAAGAGGTGTGACTGGGACCTTTTTGGTAGGTATATCTTGCTGAAGGAGTTCCTGAAAGATTTTAGATATCTATGAAGGGATTCCCAGGAGATATTATGTGTACCCAAATGGGATGCTTGAGATGACGAGAGTGGCCTCTTTTACTGCTCCAATCCAAGAACCTATGAGACAGAAAGTGCCGAAATGAAAGAGTGGAGTGAATGCTAGTGCATGGTGGTATAACTGATTTAACTGGAACTTGGGGGCACTGGTGTCAAGCGGTAACAGGAGATGAGTCGCTGAGGAGACAAGAAGAGATACAGGCCAACATCCGAGCAAGACAGTTCCAATATGGCTGGCAGAGACAGTCAAGGACAGGTCAGGTCAACTGCTTGAGGGCAGCTAATATCAGAGTGGTTGTCAACAATCACAGTTAATGAACATGGTCAATGCAGAAGAATATAAGCAGCCAAAGGAGAATCACGGAACAAGTTAAGTTGGTAACGGGAATCAGGATCGGAAGAAGAAATGCTGGTCACAGAAGGACCGCTGAAGATCTTTCAGGACTGGAGCCTTGCATGTTTCTGTAAAGGGACAACTTGTTACCACAGTTAGCAATGGGCATACACGCACATAAGATACAGTGACAGTACACAGTTCTACAGGCAGAACTTTGCATGCAGGTAATCATGCTGAAATCTGTGGGCTGGCTTGATCATCCTGTCAATATCCATTTTCAGTGGGTATACCCACTAAATGGTGAGACATTTGAAAACCTTGAGCCAATGACATTCAGTTGACTATAAGCTAGTTTTAAAGGTAAAGAGCACATGAAAGCTAGAAAGGGATGGGAAATGGACTTAGGCCTCTAATAGAGGATCTCTGGGATCAAGCTTTAACTACTTGCCAACCACAGATAGCCGAATGACGGCTACACTGCGGCTGGCTAGTTCTGGGAAGGCGTCATATGACGTCCTCCCCATAACGCGCTCTCCTGCACGCACCCGGGGGCGCTCCTATGGACACAGCTAATCACGTGATGTGGTAAAAGGCCAATCACAGCGGCCTTTTACCACGTGATCAGCCGTGTCCAATGAGACGCTGATCACCGGGAAATGCAATTTCTGGTTCTCGGCTGCACTTTCCTCACGCTGTCAGAGCATGAGGAAAGTACTGCCGAGAACCGGCAGTTGTCAGAGCAGGGATTGGCACCTATCATCAGGGCACTGATGATTAGTGCCCTGATTGGTGCCCAGCAGCGCCATCTACCAGTTCTGCCCACCTGAGCCCAGCAGTGCCACCCACTAGCTCTGCCCAGCAGTGCCACCCAGCAGTGCCACCCACCAGTGCCCCATCAATGCAGCCCAGCAGTGCTGCCACTAGTCAGTGCCCAGCGGTTGTGCCAGTCAATGCCTATCAGTGCTGCCTCATCAACACACATCAGTGAAGGAGAAAAATTACCTGTTTGAAAATATTTATAAGAGAAACTTTTTTTTTTTCAAATTTTTTGCACACTTTTTGTTTATAGCGCAAAAAGTAAAGTACCTAGTAGCGATTAAATACCACCAAAAGAAAGCTCTATTTGTGAGAAAAAAATAATTTCATATGGGTACAGTGTCGCATGACTGCGCAATTGTCAAAGTGCGACAGCGCTAAAAGCTGAAAACTGACCTGGTAAAGGGGGTATAAATGCCCAGTAGGCAAGTGGTTAACAACACTCCCATTAGTGTCTGCCACCAACACAGACATACACAGACATATTTTTCAAAGAGTTGATCATACTCCCAAAATGTTTAGATGGCTCCCTAGAGATATGGATGCATGCCCTAGGTGTGAAAGGGGCCCAGAATACTTTAATCATATGATGTGAATATGTCCAAGCTCCATTTCATCTTATTGCAGATAGTTTACTCTTCTTATGATTCAGAGGATTGTGCCCACTTCTATAGTCCTGCTGTTAAACTCAGGTTGATCTGTTCTAATTTTCATAATGTTATGAAGACATGCTGTAGACACAGGTAAAATTGCGCAGTTTTTTTTTTTTTTTGTGTATTCATGCTCATACAGTGTATAGTTTTTGCAGAATAATTACATACCATTCCTCAACACACAAAAAAAAAAATATTATGGCTGTAAAAATGTTGTCTGAAAACTGTGAAGACAAATAGTTGATGTCCATATGTTTATGGGATATGAGATATGAACAACTCTCTTTGATGACTGTATTGCTATCACGGTATGGTCTTGTTGTTTTTTGTAGGTTTTTTTTTTTATAACACACACAGGTTGTGTGTTTGTATTGAACAAACAATATAAAAATACCTAATAAAAAAGAGCACTTGAGGATGGATTACCTCCAGGTCAGTTTTTTCTCACTGTACTCATTGGTATGTTTCCAGAGTTTCTTCTCCTCATCAACTAGAATAGGAACACACTGTACATTGAGGCCTGTTGGTGACTTTGCCTTAAACAAGATTTCTATTGCTGGGGCCTGTAGGTCATCAAAGTCTAGCTCCCAAAGCAACATGCTCTCCTAGGATCACTTCCTTTACATAGAACATCTTCTTGACGTATGGACATCAGAACATGTTCATTGACATTATTTGAAAACTACATTTAACTCAGACCACTGTTTCTTCCAAAATGTCACACAAGTTATTAGTTCCTCTTTGCTGGCCCTCAGGGGTAAGGCTGTAAGGCTGGAAAGGGTTTTTTTTTTTGTTGTTGTAAATGGTAACTTTTCTTTGCTAGTTGTACATTAACATTGAAGTTTTGCCAGTATGTATTATAATATGTACAGTATATGCTGTTTTTCCCTGAAGATGCCAATTGGGGGCGAAACACATTGGTAGGGGCCATACCGGTGATGTCATTACGCCTGCCAGGTGGATGCTGGAGAGGAGCTGCTGTTGTGACTACGTGCTGTTTTTAACATACTTTTGTAAGTACTTGTCTGTTTGATAAAAGTGTATATGAGTGCTTTTACAGTGTGTGAGGCCTCTGTTCTTCTTTTGAGTACCAATGCTGTCTGGCCTGATAAGCTAATACATGAAGCCATTGAAGTTAACTGTGATCATTGATAGATACCTGGATGCTTGAGCCCAACATGCTGTTTTGATCTCTGTGATAGGGGTAATTTATATTTAGTAAGAGGCCATTGTTTCTTATGCTGGAGGGCACAAGGTGTTCGATCTTCCTTTTTCAAGATTTTTACACTTGAGGGGTGGACAGTTGAAAGCTCCACTTTATTTGAACTTTTTCACCACATGGATAGTGTTCACATTTACTGGACTGTTTGGTGTTATTATTATTACAGACTTTAGTTTATTTGTTTTTATTTTTGAACGTGCACTTATTATAAGAAATGTAATGTATTATTTCTTATGGAACTAGACCACCTAACTGCTGTGTCCTGAAGGATACCTGACATATCCTGTTCCTAATACAGTTATGTGAGTTCCAGTATTCACCTTTTTTATACCAACTAGATGAACTTATAAATGTTCTAATCATGTTCGTGTTAATCGCTCTCAGTACTAACAGCCTGGGTTAGACATTTTCTCACATCATCTGTAGCGATTTAGTTACTGTCAGAATGTCATGGTGTGTGTCTGAAAGTGCCTGGCCATACAACGTATTCTTGTGATCAGATTAGCTTTGCTCTCTTTAAATATGAGCCGACATCAGGATATTTCCGTCTGTGTCCCACTGGACCAGAGGGCTTGTTAGTCAAGATAGCTCTGTAATTCCCTCTCCATCTAGCAGCCATGAGGGGAGGGGACGTGCCATCCTGGCCTTAACATGGGTTAGTAGAGATCTATAAATGACACAATGGGAAACTTCACAGACGCACATTGTACATCCATACTGTATTACCTGTAATAAGGAGAGAGAGTTATTACAGTGATGTCACGAAGATATGAATGGGGATATGGCCCTGCCAATGGTGAGTGACTCACTGACTTAATAACATACTTTTATATAGCTGTATTTATTCAGGCTAATTTAAAAAAATGTAGATCAATGTAAATGTACAGTAGCTTTTAATAACCAATCAGAATTTTATCTTTCACTTATCTGACTACAGAAATTTGAAGTTAGATGGGATGCTAGGGTTTTTGTCAGTTTGCACACTATTATTTCTCTTCACAGCTGTCCAAGCTATGCCCATATCAGGGGAAGAGCATAACGTCTGTGTACTTACAAGGATACTGTGTGTGTGTGCCATCCTGTATGTTTAAAGTTTGTAAATCAGCAAGAGTTTTGATATTTTTTTTTTTTTTACATCAGGTCCTGACATGTGGCCAGACTACTTTCCATTTGCTAAAGGAGAACATCAGTCTCCTATTGAGCTTCATACACGGTATATCAAGCATGATGGAAACCTGCGACCATGGACCCACACTTATCATCCATCATCATCTCTAACAATTGTCAATGATGGTACCACTGTCAGGGTGGTGTTTGATGACTCCTCAGACAAATCAGGTGATTCTTTACACTGTGATCTCTGAGAGTACAACTCATAGTAGCATTCGTACAATGAAGCATGGTGCAAATCTTAACCTTCTTCTAATGGCCATCATGGGAGGAATTTTCCCACTACCTCTAGGCCCTTTACTGCTTTGTGCTGCTTGGATACTTAGAAATACCTGTGTCTGCGTTGGCAGATATAGATGTTTTGTTGAGGGAGTGCTGCTTAGAAGCATGAGCCAACAAAGCACTGCCTAAAGTTCTGCCTCAGGTAGTGCAAAGCAGCAGAACAAACTGTTGCCAAATAGATAAGATTACAGTATATTAATAACAAATGGTTAATTATTGGTTCTTCTCTAAAGTATGTAAAATGTGAATGCCCCCAAAATTAACTACTAATTATACGCACAGGCCAAAAAACCCTAGTACTAAAATTCTGTCACTTGAAAGAACACACTGTCCTAAAACTCCAGTTGCACTCTAAGTGGAAGGGGACATGTAGAGTGATGTCCTTCATGTTATTGCAGGTAAGTGAAATTGTTCTTTAAGCCTTTATTTACAATAATTTAAAATCTATTCCATATGCTTATGACATTAGATACTACGGCGTGATCACAGGACAATCAACATAATTCTCAGTGTAGTTTTGTGTGAAGTTCCTGCCAAACCCCACATGTGGGTTTTGCACTTTGTTGATTGATATTCATATTAATTATGTACTGTATTAGGACAGTTTGTAATATGTTTTATATAAATTGTTGTTTTGTCAGTTGTATCCATTCCTATCAGATTGATGACTGTCTTCCATTTTAGATAATCCCACATAAGGCTTGGTTCACACTAGGCTGACTCCAAAGTCACGTGAATTTCAGTGCAACTTTGGAGTCCGACTTTGATCCAACTTTGATTTGAATTTTTACACTCTGTGACATTGAAGTTGTATCAAAGTCAGATCAAAGTAGTGCAAGAACCTTTTGCTAAAGTCGAACTGTGTAGTATCAGACAAGACGGCTCTCATAGGGAAACATTGAATTTCACGTGTTCACATGGGATCTCACAAGTCGGATCCTGTGTGAACCAAGCCTTAAGGACCGCATTTCACCCACTCCTTTTGCACTGTCAAGTTTACTTATCTTCTGTACAATACTTACACATTTTTTTTCTTTTTAATATTTTTTAAAGTACATGTACACAGTTTACTGCATTTTGCTGGCATACACTAAATTTAAGAGTTTTAGAATATGCACAGACAGGTTCCTAAATATTACAAATAAATGACCAGTAAGTTAGAGCTCATAAATATCTCATACTTCATACTTAAAATAAAATTTGGATTTTGTGATCACTTTGACTGGCCCCAAAGATGCTAACAGATGTAACTGTGAAGACTGTGCATTTCTATTGTAATACCATCTTTTTTTAATGTATTTGCCTAGTGATAAAAGATGGTCCTCTACGTGGAACCTACAGGCTTCGGCAACTGCAGTTTCATTGGGGTTCTTCTGATGACCAAGGATCTGAACATGTTATAGATGGCCTAAGATATGCTGGAGAGGTTCAATATTTTTTTTTTGACTATACAAATGCAGTAACAATTAGTTACATAGTTAATTTGGTCAAGAAAAGACAAGTCCATCCAGTTCAACCAACAAATACACCTTGTACATTCAGAAAGATGCATCATATTGTGAGTTTAACACGAGCATTGAGCTACAATTTTATTTGCTTCTCAGCATATACTGTATTGTCAGTTGATATCTGGCACTGTTTTAGTGTTTGAAAAACCAGAGGCTAGAATTCCCCTTTCATGGATGCATCAGTAGAAAGATACAAGAAGGTATCTTATCCTGCAGAAAGATATGGATAAAAAGGGGCATATCCAAACTAAGGATTAAAAAGTGCAGGACCTTACCAAGAAAAGCTTATACAATCTAGCAGATCCAGTATGAAGGAGGAAAGAAAATTGATTACATAACTGAAATCAATAAAAAGGATTTAAAGTTCAAATCCAGACCACCAAGAAGGGGGTGAAGAGGAGCTGTGACATTACACGACCAGACCAAATACACCTTGAAAAATATATGCATACAGATGTTTTTTTAAAGGGTCAAGTGGTGTTCTAGTGAGGAGATAGAGCACATGATCAGGGAGATTCTTACTGCAGCATAATTTTTCTAGATAGAGTTGAACTTGGCCAAGGCTTAATTCTTGAGAAACGAGAGAGGAAAAAAGTATGATAGAGTTGTACATAAGTTACCTGGTCAATATTTTCATTGCTGAAATTTCAGCACTGCTAGATCTCTGCATGAGACTGGCAGCTGTCACAATGATACTTTAGGTACCTCAATGAGGTAATTATGCTGCTGTAGAGGTTATTTTAGTGTTGAGTATTGCGTAGTAGGTTCAGTTTTCAGGGCAAACGTTTGTGTCAAGCTCTCAGTTTGGCAGGTCAGTTTGGCACAGCAGATGATGACTGAGTGATATGGCTGGCCCCCACACAGCATGGCATCCAAGGCGGGTCACTCCTCTATCTCAGCCCAGCCCCGAGAGTAGGGATTGGTTAAAACCATTCAAGGTTTAATATTTTTGCTGTCTGTGTCCCATTAGGGAGAATTAACTTCCACACACAACAGGAAGTGAGAAGGGAAATACAGTAGCCTCTTAGACAGTTGCCACTGGAACAGGTTGCCCAATTGCAAGGTTCCAGTGAAAAGTCAAAATATTTGGGATTTTTTTACTGTCAGTCCTGGTAACAATGGTTACCAGGTAAAAGAGGAGAGGGTAAATATCTCCGGTGAAGCCATAATAGCAATAAAACCCTAATGAAGGTTCTAACCCTTTCCTACTATTGCCAAAATTGAAGGAAAAATTTACTTCACATATACTTATCTTGCTGATGCCAGTCTTTTAAAAACAAACATATGAAGCATTCCTGTGGAAAAAGAGCCACTTCAAAGCCAGGATGTATGATTCTGCTGTGGGTAGCAAGTTATAGTTTCCACAGCCTTTTACGCTTCTTAGATTTCCCCAGAGGAGGAGGAGGTGGCATTTTTTATTTACAAATTAGGATAGGTTTGGATTGCATAGGTTAAAGTGGAACATGATCCATATGGAGGACAGGACGTCAGAGTTTTAGAGATGGTTTTTATGAGGATATTTGTAAGTGAAATGGGCAGACCAAGGTCACACCAGAACGTGGTGCAGGAAAGGTGCATTCCATGCACATTTCCCGCACTAAACTCAAAACACATTGCCTTTGCTATCTGCTTCAGGTGCTAATGTAATGTTAACAGCACCACAAATGCAGAGCACAAATGTAGTGAATTTGAGGACACCAAATTGCATGGTACCACAGTAGCATTTGGTGCAGCACTTTTTAAAAGTAGTTCATGTACTACTTTCTCTGCGTTCCTGTGTGATTCTGGTGTGAACAGGCCCTAAATGTACCACTATAAATTTATTTCCAGACAGTGATGTCTGGGGCAGCAATTTAGTAATCTAATTAGAATGAACCCGTTAATACTGTAGTTATACTTTTTATTCAATCAAATATTGTTTTCTATGTACACTACCATATACATAAAGTATAGTTTGCGATATAGTCCCATATAAATACTATATACAGTGTATGTGTATATATATATATAATTTGTTTGTTTTTTTTTCCTATATATGCTCTCATACACAAAGTATTCTTTACGTAATACACTCCCATATACCATACATAGAGTATAGTTTCTTATGCACACTTCCTAGCAGTGGTTGTAACTAGGCTTATAGTTCTGCCAGTCTGAAACATTTACCAAAATATTGTACAATCTAAACAAAATAAATTCTTATTTCAGATTCATTTTGTGCACTGGAACTCAAAATATGACAATATTACAGAAGCCAAGAAAAACCCCGATGGAGTGGCTATAATCTCAGTGTTCCTAAAGGTGAGTGTCAGTTCTTGAGCCAAGTGAATATCTTCTAAATGTATGATTTTGACAGTTGTGGAGAAAAATCTAATTGGAAAAATGAGCTAATTGCAGTGTTCATAAACCTAAATATTGAACTATTCATAGTGCCCCTTTTAGGTCTGCTAAAGAAAAAATACAAAAAAATACAAGTGAACAAAATCCTGTTGATCCTGCCAGAAATGGAATAAGCTGAAAACTTCCTATCTACTATGCCTCTAAAGACTTTAATGAGTTAGCATTGTTCCCAGCTTTATGTGTGGGCTTTGGAACCCCGACCCCATGTTATGCAGAAGAGGAGTGGGGAGTGTTCTGTAGTCCTAACACACTTAATGTTTTAGCAGCTCCTCCATGGACACATTATTAGTACGTGTTGTCACCCTAGGACAGGACAGGAAGTGTGATACTGGCAGTGTCACCAAGTGAAAGTAATAGGAAAAAAAAGCCTGCCAAAGGAGAATCAGCCCTCTGAACTGTTACTCTGTTCACCTCATGTTGCATAATAACATACTGAACATTTATGACGTTTAAAAAAAAAAACAAAAAAAAACAGGAAAATCTAACCTCAGCTTATGAATTCTCCCTTCGCTTGGTAAAGCCAACTAGAAAAATCTAAGCCCACTGCTGGTTATCAGTAATACATCAGGTATACACATTTTACATGCTAAAATATATGTGAAGTTCACTATCAACTTTATCACTTCCAAATGCTTATTACCACCTCTTAACTCATATGCTACATGACTAAATACAATGAGGTATAGAAAAGAATCACCCCCCAAAAAAATCACTCTGTTGCTTTGCAGCCTGAAAATGAAGACATACATTTTTTGTTTTATCCAGCTGTATTTACTCAGTGCAACTTGTAACATCCAAATGAAAGATATAACAAAACATGTCAGAATTTTTTTTTTTAATTCAAAAACAGGATCGCTGTTGGAAAAAGGATCCTCCCTCATACAAACAACTTGTAAACTCAATCAGGGTAGCTAATCACCTTCTCAATGGCACATAAAGCCATCTGACTTTCAGCTGTGATCAGCTGTGGTCATTTTGATTAGCTTAACATGAAAAAAAGCTTTCTGGAGCATTTCAGCCCCAGGTAGTGCAGCTGAAGCAAACCATCAACTATGGGTGGCAAGGTACTGTCAAAAGATCTCTGGGATAAAGTTGTGGATGGGCAAAAGTCAGGAGATGGATACAAAAAAATTTATATAAAGCCTTATCAATGCCTAGAAGCACAGTGAAGTCTATTATTAAGAAGTGGACGGTATTTGGTACAACACAGATCCTCCCTGGATCAGGACGTTGCTCCAAACTGGATGAAAGAGCCAAGAGGAAACTGGCCAGAGAGGCTACCAAGAGACCTACAACAGCTCTCTAGCAGTTGCAGAAATTTATGACGAGTAGTCAATGTGTGCATGTGACAACAATATCACATTCTCCACAAATGTAGCTTGTATGGAAGGGTTGCAAGAAAAACGCCTCTCCTTTAAGAAAGGCCACATGCAGTCATGGCTGAGCTTTGCCAAAATACACTTTCTTCCAAGAACACACCACCTGAGACCATATGGTCAGATGAGACTAAAATTGCATTACTTGGCCTCAACACTAAACTATATTTCTGGTGAAAATCCAATCCAGCTCGCCATCCATTCCTACAGTAAAGCATTGAGCTAGTAATCTGTTATGGGGGGTTTCTCTGCAGCAGAGACTGGAGCACTTTTCAGGATAGAAGGAATAATGAATGGGGCAAAATACCACAAATTCCTGAGGAAATTCTGCTGACCACTGCCAGAAAGTTGTCAATGCGAAGAAGGTTTACCCTCCAACATGACAATGACCCAAAGCACACACCAAAAATGACCACACAGTGGTTGGAGGAGAAAAAGATAAATGTTCTTGCATAGCCTAGTGAGAGCCCAGACTTGAACCCCATTGAAAATCTGTGGAAAGACTTGAAGAGTGCAGTCCACAAACAGTTATAAAATGTAGCTGAAATTTAGCAGCTCTGCAAAGAAGAGTGGGCAAATATTGAAACGTCTAGATGTGCAAACTTAGTAGAGACATATCCCAACAGACTAAAGGCTGTAATTAAAGCAAAAGGTGGTTCAACAAAATACTGACACAAGGGTGGTTCAACAAAATACCGACACAAGGGGGTAATCCTTTTTCCAACTCTGATTCTGTTTTTGAATTAAAAAAAAAAATTCTGACATATTGGTGTTATCACTTGGATGTTATAAGTTGCACTGGATAAAACAAAAGCTGTGCCTCTCTCTGTAAAGCAACAAAATGTGATTATTTTAAAGGGAGGTGATACTTTTCTATACCCACTGTACATTGAAACTGTCAAATCAGTTCCAGAAATGGCAGTACAACTAGCAGAAGTGCTTCCCAATCAATCAAACTTCACTTTGGATTTACCTAGAACAGTGAGAGCAGTAAACAATGGTTGCTGTTTCTATTAGTTACTTAAAGGGGTGCATGGTGGTAATGGCGTATAGAAGAACAGGGCTTGTAATGCACGTATGGGGGTGAAGCGGTGACATGCTGTTGCTATGGGTAACAAGTACCATAGAAGGATGAGATGACAGCCAGACTTGGGGATAGCACTGGCACTGGTGACAGGTCTCATGTATAGTGAGGGGAGTGGTTCTTGGCCTACTTCCCAAGTGGTCCATACCCCAGCGACCAGACCAACGTGACAGAGACCCTAGGGACCTAGCCACATGGTATGGGAGAGAAGAGTTCATTGTGCACATGCAGGGGGTCTGTGCCGTTGCCCGGTGGGACCCCATTGTCACTGGAAGAGATGTGACAGATTCAAGATGGACTGGTGAAACGGAACACTGCTCTGTGGGGTCTCCTTCAAAATGTCATATTCTGAACAGTTGTATGTATTGTGGGACTGGGAGGCATCTGTATGACAGTGTCAGGTTATATTGCAGAGACGCTGGTGTGTACGGTTGCTTCTAGGTCAGGTTACAGCCGTAATGTTGGTGTCACATGAATGTGGCCCCACCTGGTTCCAGGCATTGGCGTGTACACTGGATAGCCCAGAGAAAGGAGCAGAGTGAAAGCAAAAGGCTCCATGTGCACCGGGCAAATCTGCCCCGCCAACAATGGTAGATTTCGCAGGGGCCAAAATTTTGGTAACCATAATGATTTGAACTTTGTCCAACTGGCTTAGACAAAAATAAAGGGTTTATGTGCTAGCCCCCTCATTTTAAAAGGGAAGGAGGGCACAGAGGAGCCATAATATTAGTGGATGGTGCTGTAGGAAAAGGAAATAAAAAAAAGTTGACAATGTACACTGAAATATTAGGGTCAGCGAAGAAAACTTACTTTAATTATAATTGATAGCACTTTAGGATCCTTTGCCAAATGTTTTGTTAATACTGTGGGCTTATTTGGCTTTCAGAGCATTTTGTGATTGATTTAGGGTTAGTGCAGGGACGGACTGACCATTTGAGCACTCAGGCACTGCCCGAGGGCCTGGGGTCAGTAGGGGGCCCCATGAAAAGCCCCTGGTGCCTTTTTTTTTTTTTTTTATAGGCTTTGAGTGTGGGCAAGGACACAGGGGCCCCATGATCCCCTATTGCCCAGGGGCCCCATGAGTTGTCAGTCTGCCCTTGGGTTAGTGGTTACTTTTAGCTGATGTCCTGTCCATAGCAACTGTGTTTGGTTGTATTCTTCCCCTAAACTAATTGGCTTTTGTTTCAGGGGGCAATATTTTGGGTTTGTTTTTTGTTATGGGGAGGGGTACATATTGCCTTTTTATGTAGTAAGACTTCCCTTAAAAAGTTGTCTCTTTCAGGTGATATCACAGTGGTGGTTTTAATTATTTTAGAAAAATATTGGTTTCGATTTGTATATTGATACCTTTTTTAAATTAAAAAATTGCTAAAACTCTAAATAACCAGCATTTGAATATATCCCCAGCTCCAAATCAGTGCTGGCTCCAAAAATCAAAAATTATATTGTGTACAAAAGGAAGAGAACTTAAGGGATAAAAAAAAACTATTAATTTCACTGAAAATAATATAAAAATTACAAAGGTTATGATCCTTATCCAAAAACCAAATTCATCATTAATTTGACGGGAAATACTGGAGTTATATCTGCAGCTAGATGCCATAACTCTGGTATTGTTTTTTTCCTTAGGCGCCGGTATTTTTTTTTTTTTTAGTGATCTGAGCTGTAGATTTGCTGCTGGACCACTTTTACTAGCAGTGGTCCAGTCCCCCCCCCCCCCCCCCCCCCCTTAGTTTTTCTTCCATTTTCCCCTGGTGATCTGGCAAGTAAGTCTGTTGTTTTTCAAAAGCACAAGCTCTCCTGCAACGGCTTACAGGGTTGAGACAGATCATATACTACTGACAGGGTGCTTACAATGATCAGTTTCTATTTATTCATATAACAGTACAGTTCATCCACTTACCACCTTCCAGCAATTCAGTCCATAAGAATACTGTATATAGAAGCAAATGTTCAGTGCTAACACAACTAAAGTCCTGCATATCTTCAAGTAAGCCATTTTAGTAGTTGCTGGCGGTGATACATACAGGTCCTTGGTGAAGTGAACGCCAAATACAGACAAAACGCAATGTTGGTAGCACCTTGTGTGCTATCCCCTACTTCCATGCAGGGCTGGTATGCCGAAACCATGATATTGATACTTGTTTGTAACACATCAAGTTGCTTAATATCCAAAAACTATCATCGCAGTTGTGCTGGGGTTAAAGTGTTACTAAACCCACAACAGTAAAATCAGTCTGTATATGCAGTAAATCAAGCGTGTTATACTCACTGTGGAACCTACGGGGTTAATCCTTCGCATTGTGTAAAAAGGATGTTTGATCCTGTCTTCTCTAAACCTCCCCTTCTACTGACCCCAGTCCAGTCCATCTACTGATAGATACGAGCCTTGGGGGCGAACTGCACATGCTCAGTTTGTGTATTGCTAGAGCGATTTTTCT